AAATTAATATTTTTCATTAGATTATCAAACATAAAATATTTTATTTATAAATAAATATTTAAAGTTATTTGTTATTTAATTTCTTTTATTTAAAGTCAAATTTTTTCATATTCTCCATTTTTTAGTATTTATTTTTTATTTAACACTGAAGTTATATCTTAATTGTAATAAATTATTTGACGTGATAAACGTGATGAACGAAATATTATATACCTTGAAAATAATTGAATAGAATAGGAATAAATTAATAACTTCATCGGAAATCAAAATCTGGATTATAGATAAAAAGCAATTCAAGTATCAAAAAGCATTTCAGGTATCAAAATACCCGATGTGCAATTTATAAGTTTAATAAATGTTTGCGATAGTATTAAAAGTTAGATCAATTAGAAAAGATTTTTCAATTGCTATTTTATATCAAATTAGACCAATTGCAATAATTGAAGAAAAAAAATTTTCATTGGGCTAATTCTAGGGAATGGTCAGCCAAGAGCATTTCATGGCCTAGATCATGCTTACATATTCACAAATGGTTACAGTAGTAATTTACATATTGAACCCTTTAGTAGAAGAGATCAACAAATGGCTAAAATGCTTTCAGCAATGATTACAAATTTTGCTAAATATGGGTTTGTTTTTTTTTTCTTTTTTGGAAATATTTCAAATTAAAATTAATGCATTAAGTGATATTTTAATTAAGAACTTTTAATATTTTAATGAGAATTAGAAATTTTAATTCGAATAAATTGAATTTAATTACATTTAAAAGAAGAATGAAATTTTTTTTCGATAAAATTTTTTGCTATTTACTACATTAAGTTGCTTGCCACTTTTCTCCCCCGTCTTACCTGCCCTATCATGATTAATTAATTATCAGGAATATTACAGGAAACCAACACCAGTTGAATGGAATGGTTTCAAATGGATACCATTTACAAATGAATCTGCTCAATATGCAATCTTAGATTTACCACCAAGGTTCAAAAAAAAAAATTTTTTTAAATTATTCTTTAAATTTTTGAAATTTTTCCCACATTTGCTTTGAAATGATACGAATGTTTAATTTTTATTCACAAATTTGTTATCAAATTTCTATAACTAATATAATTTAATGTATTTAATACAATTAATTAATTAATTAATTAATATGAAATTATCAAAATAATTTTAGATATAATTTACAAATTTTTGGCATAATTTTTGTTGCTTTTTGTTTTAAAAAAAAACTTTCAGTTAATTTTAAAAAAATTAAAATTTTAACAGAAATATACTTAAAAACAGTAATAAATTAAATTATTTACAGGAAGGCAATTGGTAGTTTACATTGGCCAGCAACAAATTTTTGGAATAAAGAAATGGCACTTTTCGAAAAATTATCATTGCGTGAAAAATCGGTGCAAACATTAAGTGAGGAATTAACTGCTGATGAACGATTACAGGTTTTTATTTTTATCCAATTAATTAAAATTTCACTAAAATTTATAAATTGTGACAAATTTTTTCAAAAAAAAAATATATATTCATTGCTTATTTGATATTTATTAACTTATTTATTAACTTAAAAGCTTTTTAATATTTTTGGATTTGTGAAATATTAAGTAATACTTTCGAAATGATTACTGAAACACTAAGTTAATAAGTAATAGTTTTAAACTGATTACTTAAACCATTAAATAATTACTTTTAAACTAAATATTGAAAAACTTAGTAATCATTTCAACCTAATTGCTAAAAAATTAAGCTAGTATTTTCAAATTGAATGTTGAAATATTAAGTAATACCTTCGAACTAATTACTAAACCATTAAGTAATTGCATTTAAACTGAACATTGAAACATTACGTAATTACATTTATACCGATTTGTTGGGTAATTAAGTGATACTTTTAAAGTGATAATGTAAACAATAAGGATAATTATAGTTAGCTGCTTATCGACGTGCATGGTGGGCATTATGGTTACTTGTTGGTATGATTGCTTTGGTTATTTGGGTCAGTATTATTTGCATTGTTGTGACAAGATGTCATAGCCCTCGAGCCAAACCATACAATAATATTGTTGTTAACAGTTGATAGAATTTTATTTTTAAATAAATTTTTATTTTCATTTTATGTTTCAATAAAATGCTATCATCTATTGATAACAATATTATAAAATGCAAGCAATGATTGTTTGGAAAAATGAAATATATCTTAGTTTGATAAAATAATGATGAGTAATTTCTTTTTGTCGTTCTTTGCAAATAAATGATGATATTATATGGTTGATTATAATTGTGATAATTAATGACGTATTGTAAAATTTGTATTTCAAATATGATTACTTTGAATATTAGTATTGTTGTAACATCGTTTGACATCAACATATTGTCAACATACTATCATGACATCAACACACTATCATAACACTAACACATTGTCAATACACTATTATGGCATTAATACATTATCAAGAATTATTATGACATCAACACAATGTCAACAAAATTGATATCCAACAGAAAGACAAAAAAAAAAAAGAAAAAAAAGAAAAAAAAGGAAAAAGTCATTTTACAGTTAAATGCTATTTTTATACATTTCCTACCATATTATATTAGTCAAAAATTGCTAAAATAATATGCGCAAATGTTTATTTCTTTAAAATTTTATTCAACTTTAAGTTAGAAAGTATTCCTTTTGATTCATTTACAAAATCACATAATTTAATCAATGAATAATAAATATAAACATTTGAAAACAACAATAACAAAAACACTAAAAGAGTAAACAATGAAATATTAATACTTATATTTATAATCAAATAGAATTACTTTTTAAATATTAGGACATGAAAAAATATTTTAATTTCAAAATATTTTGGTAAATCAAACGATATAAACAAATTCACTTAACAACCTCTTTTTGTAATTTTTCATTTTTTAAATAACGAATTCCTTATTCGTGCAAGAGATCTAAATTGTGAAATATTAAGACCTCAAAAAAATTTGATAGTATATGGAAAATTTAATGATAGTATGAGATCAGTACCATGACACAACATGATAGTATGGCAGTGTGACATTCACATGATAGTATAATATTGGCGAAAATTACAATATTTAATGATAATAACTGGAAATTGAATTAAGTTGCTTTGGTTTTTACAGAATGGTATGATTAAAATACTGAAGATATGTGCAATATGAAATGAGATGAATCAAATGTCAATTAATAACTTTAAAATTTCAAATTTTGGAAAATTTTTTAAACCATACAGGAATGACAATTCCTACAAAAAGAATTGAATATTCGATAAATTTCAATATTTGATAATTGCTATTCGATATATTTGATACTTATTCCTGGAAAAAAAATTCGATATTCGATACAACTCACCATTTGATATTTCAGATATTCCACACGATTCGATACAACTCAATATTCGAAATTTTGTTTTTTTTTTGATATTTAGTATATTCAATAATTATCGATACAAAATATATTACAATATTATTCAATGTAATCGTCAAACCTATTCAATATTCGATATTCGATATTTGATATATTCAATAATTATCGATACATAATATACCACAATATTGTTTAATGTAATCCTTCAACTTATTCAATATTCCATATTCGATGTTTGATTATATTGAAAGATTGAAAAGATTATCATATTCAATTCTTATTTGGTACAAAATACCATAATATCATTCAATACAATCGTCAAACCTATTCAATATTCGACAATCGATAATTGATATATTCAATATTCGGTACAGAATATACCACAATATTATTTAATGTAATCGTCAAACCTATTCAATATTGGAAATCCGATATTTGATATATTCAATACACAATCAGTTAAAAACGTGTCATAACATTATCAAATTAATCGTCAGACTTATTCATTCGATATATGATATGCTCGATACATGATACATGATATATGATATATTGATATATGATATATGATACAATACATGATATATGATATATTCAATATCCAATATTTGATATTCGATATTTGATATATTCAATGCTTAATCAGTTCAAAACGTGGCATAATATTTATTATTCAATTAATCGTCAGACATATTCAATATTCGATATTCGGTATTTGATACATTCAATACTTATTCAGTTCAAAACGTGCCGTAATATTATTCAATAAAATCGTTAAACTTATTCAATATTTGATATTCGATATTTGATATATTCAACGTTTATGCGGTAGAAAATATGCCATAATATTATTTAATTAATAGTCAAACTTATTCAATATTCGGTATTCGATATTTGATATATTCAATACTTATTCAGTTC